AGGTCCGGGTCCCCAAGGACACGTGCGGCACCCGTGAGAGGCTCTATGGTAGGGGTGGCCTCACACCAGTCCCCTCCTGTCACCCTGGGGTGGGAGCACAGTGCACCCCAGAGCTGCCCATGCCCAGGCTGCCCTCCCGGACCCCAGCAGTGGTCAGGGGCTGTGCAGTGCCTGGTGGGGAGATGCCAGACTTCAGTGCTCTTGCAGAGTGGATCAGCTTTGAGGAGGAGGATGCTAAGCCAGCGGCACACACCCCGATGTGCCCCAAGCCACCCCGGCAGACCCTCAGGTACCGCAGCCAGGCTCAGCCCCACCACAAGCCCCGGTTGTGGGGTGATGCTGAGTCCTCTCCCACTGTGCCTTGCAGGAGCCGGCCCCGCAGCCTCCTGGAGCCGGCTGCTGGCTACACCAACCCAGCCTACTTCATCTTCGAGGGGGTCCCCAACACGTGGGTGCTGGCCCCTGGCACTGGTGAAGCCCACACCAAACAGGCAGAGAGCCCAGCCAGGGGCCAGCAGCACCGGAGCCCCCTTGGAGCACGGGCCCCTTTGCCCTCGGAGGAGCAGCGGTGGGGCAGCCAGCACCACCATGTGCCAGGGGGTCCACCCCGTGGGTGCCCACTCAGCCCCCTTCGTGTGGGCCAGCAGAAGAGACCCAAATCAGCCATGCTGGTGAGGGACACACCAGGGCTGGGTGACTGCTCACTGACAGCGCTGCACATGGCCTCCTGCCTGAGCCAGATGGACTGGGCAGCCCCCGAGCACGGAGGAGACAGCCAGGAGACCCTGCTGCACCCCAGGACCCTGCTGCACCAGACCCACAGCACTCTGGAGCCACCCCCACGGCCCTACCAGGAGGTGTCGAGGTGCCCGCCGGGTGCTCGCCAGCACAGCCACTCCAGAGAGGTACCACTGTGGTCCCTATGGGGCTCTGGAGCTCAGCTGAAGGGCTTGGGGAGCTCAGGGAGGGAGGGGACCTGCTTTGGGCCATGGGGTCACCATCAAATGCAAGGTCCCATCCCCATGGCAGTGTTCTGCCTGATGGAGCCACCATGGCACAGGCAGTGGGATAGTGGAAGGTGAGGGAACAGCAATGTGCCCCATTGACCTGGGGTGAGGACATGAAGGTGGGGACTTCATGGTCCTGGTATAACCCTGCTGGCATGTATCCCTGTGCTTGTTTTTCCAGTGGCCTTGCAACAGGGGTGAGTGGTTCTGCAGCATCAGTGGGTGCCTGGGCCACCTCAGCTTGCAGCAGGACAAGGAAAGGCTGCAAGAGCATGGCCTGGGACCACCAGGAGATCTTCAGGTACCCCAGGCCCTGGAGCTCAGGAAGGGGGCACCGTGCAGACCAGCTCCTGTGGCCCCACAGGCCCTGGCAGAGCCCTGTGCCCTGGTGGGGAGGAGAGGTGGGAATGCGGCAGGACAGGGGCAGGAGGATGTCAAGTCCACAATGGATGCCCCGGGGCTGCGTGGGCTTCCTGCTCCCTCCCCGTGGCTCCCCCAGCACTTGCTCCCCCCTCACAGAGATGTCACGAAGCGGGACCTGCCGGAGGCTGGGGTGCTCAGTCTGACCCATCCCCAGCTCATCCATGGCAAGCTCGGTGATGGCACCGTGGTGAGCCTGCCGCAGAGACACAACCTCGGACCCAGCGCCTAGAGCATCCATCCCCACCCCAGCACCTCTGGAGCTCCCAAGGCAGGCAGAGCTGCTGAGGAGGACGGGGCAGGAAACACCCAGGCCATGCCCCCAACATGATTGGCCTCACCAGCAAAGTGACTCAGCTGGGAACATCAGGAAACTCCTACAGACGCTTTCCGTGTCTCACTGCCTGTTTCCATCCTTCCACCCCAAAGCGATGGAAGGACCATGCTGAGCCCCACCAGCAAGGAGGGATGGGGACATGGCAGATGTTGAGGCCATTTGGGAAGTAGGGACCACTTTGGACCTTAAGGCTCAGCCTTTTCAGGCAGCCTGCAAGGGCTGACCAGCCCAGCTCCGTACACCATTGTGCCTTTGGCCTCATCCCTCCTCCCCAGGCTCAGCGATGGTTGGGCAGCATTCCCAGATGACTTCTTCTGCAGCAGCTGCTCGTAAGGCTGCTGCACCGTTTCCTTATGAGATGCCCCTTGCTATTCTCATCCAGAATAAAGTCTCAGGGATGCTGGGGTGCGTGTGTGCAACGCCTCATTCTGCACAGGCAAAGGGAGAGCACCAGAACATTGCCCCCTGCCTTCCACTGTTTACTCAGGGACCCTGCAGACCCCAGCCCTCTGGGCTGCCCTCAGTGGCACCGTTCCCTTTGGAACGCACCGATCTACCTGCTCATCCCAGCACGCCCAGGGTCCCCCGGGCTCTCCCTCTGTGTCCAGGCATCCCCGGTCTGCCCCTGCACCACCCCTCACACCTCTGCTCCTCCCCAAACCACCCCGCTCTTGGCCATGGTCCCCAGCATGTCGGGGTGCACCCGTTCACGGCCGGCGTGCCCGTTCATCCCAATACCAACACTTCTGAACAGCACACACCTTTAACCCGCCTGCATGCTGGCAGAGGAGTTAAATCCCCCGACCAGGCAGTGCTCTGCAGGCAGTGGGGGCACACGGCCCCCCCAAAACACAGGGACACCCCAGCCCAACAGGGCTCCGGCTGCTGCGGCGCCCAAGGTGGCCCTGGTTTTGGGGACACTATGCCCAGACTGGCCTCAAGGTGGCAGTGGCCACCTTTGTCCCTACTGTTGCCCCTCAGGGCTGGGATGCCACCAGGGCAGCACCTTGGGATGCGGGCACTGCGGGACATGCGTGGACCCGGTGGGGCAGGGGGGGCTGCCGTGGGGTGGGCAAGGGGCCATGGTCCCCCACTGGCAGGGGGATGCGGTCCCTACGGATGAGGGGCTATGGCCCTCATGGCTGAGCGACTTTGGTCCTCATGTGCGAGGGGCGCTGGTCCCCATGGCCAAGGGTCCTTGCCTCCCACAGGGCTGCGGCCCCATGGGTGAGACCCACACGCCCCACGGTTTGGGGGCTGCTGCAGGGGCTGCAGATGGCCCAAGGCCTGCGAGGGCAATGGGCGGGATGGGAGCGGAGCGGGGCTGAGCCCTGCGGGCAGCCCCTGGGGCGGGCAGGGACACGGGCAGGGATCGCTGCGGGCTCCTGCCCCTCCTCTGCCCGCCTCCAGCCCTGCCTCTCCCGGGCACTTTGCTCCCAGCGGTGGGAGCGCAGGAGCGGGCACAGGCGCGGCAGGGCACGGCGGGGGCCGCCCGCAGCCCCTCCAGCATGGACCCCGGCCCCGCGGCGGGGCCCCGCTGCTGAGAGCCGCCCCAGGCAGGTCCGCAGGTGAGCCGGGGCACCCAGGCTGGGCAGGGAGCAGCAGCGGGACGGCCGCACCACAGCCATGTAAATGCAGTTGGGCACTGGGGGGACGCTGGGAGGGGCGGCTTTGGCCCTGCAAGGGATGGAGGTGGGAACCCAGGGTGGGTGGGTGTGGGTCAGCCAGATCTCCCCATCCCTCCAACATCCCCAGATCCCTCCGTGCATCTTCCTCCTTCACGCGCCACTGCCTTCCTCCATCACCGAGGGCCGCTATGTGGCCACCTCCGCTCCTTCATCTCTCTCCTCTTCCTCAAATTGCTGTTTCCCTGCAGGGCAAAGCCGCCCTTGGGCTGCTGTGGCTTAGCCAGATGCTCTGTGCTCCTGCCCTTCCTTGGGGAGGCAGAGGGTCAAGGAACGGCCCACCCAAGGGTGAAAGGAAACCCTCACCTGCCACCCAGCTGAGAAAGGGGTCACCTCAGAGCAGGGGATGTGGTGGGCAGAGACAAGCACCCGACCCCACTGGTGTCCTTGGGGAGGAGGCACCGGCACCTAGGCAGCGCAGGCGGGTCGTGCTTTGGCTGCTCTTGCAGTCAAAGGGAAGGATTGAAAAGAAATGAGGTCACGCTCCCCTTGTGCCGGGGCTTTGGCTGCACCAACCCCGTGGCGATTAGGGACAAGGGTCCTGCTGCAGGATGTTTTGCACAATTTCCCCTTGTTTTGCAATTTCCGAGCGCTTGGGTGAGAAGCAAAGCCCTGTTCTTCCCGTGCTCCAGCGGCAGCCGGTCCCAGGCTCACCCAGCCACGAGTCCCCCAGCGGCTGCTCCCTCCCCTCCAAAATCTACTCTCTCGTCCCTCTCCAAAGCTCCTGCTCGCTACACCACGATCCCCGACCCCTATCCGGTCCTGCCGCGGGCAGGACTTTGGCTCCAGGGCAGAGTCTGCCACCAGCGCTGCCCCACTCATTCATTTCATTGGTGCCTTTCTAACATCCCAGAAATCCACAGCGCAGGAATTGTTGGCCAGCTGCAGGGGCACCGGGGCTGGGGGCAGCCGCTGGCTCCCACTGGGGCCAAAGGACGGGTTCAGGCTGGGCATGGCCGTGGGGCCAGGAACCAGGGCACAGCTCCTGTTCGTGCGGCAAAGGGCCAAGGGCAGCATGTGCCCCCCAACCTACGGCCCCATGCCAGCTCCTGCTCTTTTCCAACAGTGGGTGGCCACGCAGGGGGTTTGCAGGACTGTTCATTGCTTCCCAGGGCACTGCAGTGGCCAGCCTCACATCTGTCTTCCCAGGAGGTTGTGCTTGCCATGGGGAAGGGATTTCCCAGCCTCACAGCCCTCCGACATGCATGGAACGGGCAGGGTGGGAGCTGGCATCACATCCCCAGCTCCATGTCCTTTCCCTGCAGCACCTCCCATCTCCCACTCTGGCAGTGACTGCTTGGCTCCTCCAAGATGTCACCTCCTTGAAAAGCCCACTCTGGAGAGGCCGTGGCCAGGGAGGGCCTTGCTGGGGACATCAGCAAGGAACAGGAATGGGCCTGGTGGTGACGTGTCCTTGGGTGCACTGATGCAAGAAAGAAAACCCCTGCAGGTACATTTTTATGCTGGTAAGATTCCACCCCAGGTTGTTCTTACACAGCTGGAGTTTGTTTTCGGGGGGGGTTGGAACTAGGTGATCTTAAGGTCCTTTCCAACCCTAACCATTCTATGATGCGAATCAGCAAGTTAAACCATGGATTGTGATCACGACTAAGATGAGGAAGCAGCAAATCTGTTGTGATAAAGCTTGTCAAATGTCATCTTCTTTTGCATTTTTATTTTTCGGTGGTTATCCTCAAAGGAAGCTTACTTGGGAATGGTGAAACCATGCTGCTGAGCACTGATGATGCTTGGGCTTTATCTGCTGCCAGAAGCTGTGTAGATGCACTCTCCTCGAAGCAGCCTGACACCACAGAGCTGCCCAGGCTTTCTCCTTATGCATTTCTCACACCAGATCTATTTGTTGCCTTCTTCATACCTTAGCTGTTTGTTGACCTATGTCATGGGCATTGACTTTGGACACTGAACCCTGCAGCGCCTTCGGTCTGGTCCTGCTCAAGGCTTCGTGCTCACTTGCACTTAGAAAAGGCAAATAAATCCCCTGGCGCATCATTTCTTCAGCAGCACCACAGCTTGCAGAGGCGCAGTCGCTGGGCTGGGACCAGCACAGCACCCCAAGGGCCACTGCTGGCACTAGTGGTCAGAGGCGTGGGGTTTGCTACCAGCTCTTTTTCCCTCCTGGCTCTGGGAAAACAGAGGGAGTTCTTCCCACTGTTAATGTTTGATCAGGACCTGCCTGTTGCTCTCTGAACTCATCCCTGTAATAAAGGAGGCGGCTGCCTGCACCAGCCGCAGCAGGAAGGAAGCTGCAGGGTGTTTGATGTGAGCCTGAAGCTGTGGCTCAGCCCACTCCTCAAACAGAGTACACAGAGGTGCGTGTGGCACAGAGGGGCTGGCCCTGCAGCCTCCTGCTTGCCCATCTGCCTCCTGACTGATTTATGATCATCTCTGTAAACCCAGGGATGTCTCTGCAGGTGAGGCTGTGCAGGGACATGGATCACACCTCAGCTGACCCCATGGGTACGCCCTATGGGATGTTCTTGCCAACGGCGCTTGCCATGAGAAGCCATCCATCTGCACATCTCCATGGGAAAGGCAAAGGGCAAACAGGAGGGGGGTTATGAGGGAGCCAAAGGATCAAGGAGGCTGAGAGGATGCATCCTGATGCCCATCACCTCCTGGGTGAGCTCTGGACCAACAGCAACTGGAGACACCCCAGCGCTCCCTCTGTCAGATATGGTTTGGGTACACCCTCGCCTCTGCCGGCAGCGTGGCAGATGCTCCTGCTCCCAGGTTACTCATCTAGGTATCCACCCTTGGCCAGCAGAAGTGGCTGATCCAGAGCTGCTTTGCCAGGGATAGTGAGAGGTGTGGAGCAGCCAATGCGCAGGCAGCCTTCACCGGTCCTTTGCTGGACACCATGATGGTGGCATAAGCTCCTTCTTCCTTCAGGCAGAGGGGGCTCTGAACTCCAGACATCCTGAGACGCGAACGCGACCCTTTGCCAGCTCACCCTCCTGCCTCAGCGCTGGGGCCCAATTTGCCAGGAGGATGAAGATCCTAACACTGAGCAAAAGGAAACCTCCTGCCTGCCCTATGAACTTGCACTGTCTTGAGCTGGGACTTGGCTCCGGCGCAGCTCCTCTCTGCAGGGTTTACATCATCCCTCTCCTACGGAGAATACCCGGCAGCTGGAGGCCCCTCACCGTCCAGGGACACTCACTCCCAAAGGCTCCTTTAACAGCCCCCTGAGGATTTCTCCGGGCCATAATATTCCCCCAGACAAGCCTTTCTTCTCCTCCTGCCTTTCTTCTGTCGAGGAGCCCTCTGGGACGAGCAGCATTGTCAGGATGGTGCCAATTAGGCTGAGCCGGCTTCCAAGAGGCTGTGCTGGCACCGGCCAGGGGCTGCTGTTGCTTATAAAGGTCTCATTGTTCGCCGCGCCGTGGGGCTGCTGCCCTGCGGGGCCGGCGTGGTCCTCTGTCTCAGGCACGCTTCCCGGCTCCACGCGGCGCTGGTGTCACTGCGCGCCGCTCAAAGGGATGATTAATGGGTGTCATTGCAGGGGCTGCGAAGGGGAGGATTTGTCAAGTCCCCCTCAGCTCCCCGCGAGGCCCAAACGCACAAGCTGAGAAAAACCAGAGAGCCATCAAAGTGGCCGAAGCTCTGGAGGGGGGGAAAATCTGGCATCTTTGGCTCCCTTCCGCGCTTTGTGCCTGACAATGGTCGGGATCGACGACTAATGCGCTTTTATTAACTGCTCCCCTAGATCTGGCTCGGAGAACATGGCCACTTCAGTGCGGACGTTCCCGGTTGCCCTGTGGACACCGACGCCAGCTCCCTGGCTAGGAGGAAACACCACCGCAGCGGCAGAGGCGAAGTGCGTCTTCAATGAGGAGTTCAAGTTCATCCTGCTGCCCATCTCCTACGGCATCGTCTTTGTGGTGGGGCTGCCCCTCAACTCCTGGGCCCTGTGGATCTTCATGTCCAGGATGAGGCCCTGGAATGCCACCACCACCTACATGTTCAACCTGGCTGTCTCTGACACACTCTATGTCCTATCCCTCCCCACCCTGGTCTACTATTATGCTGACCGCAACAACTGGCCCTTTGGGCAGTGGCTCTGCAAGATGGTGCGCTTCCTGTTCTATGCTAACCTCTACAGCAGCATCCTCCTCCTGACGTGCATCAGTGTTCACCGCTACGTGGGCATCTGCCACCCCATCCGCTCCCTGAACTGGGCGAAGACCAAGTGTGCCCGCATCATTTGTGTGGGTGCCTGGCTTGTCGTCACCATCTGCCTCATCCCCAACCTCATCTTTGTCACCACCAGCTCCAAGGGCAACACCACTCTGTGCCATGACACCACCAAGCCCGAGGAGTTTGACCATTATGTGCACTACAGCTCCTCCGTCATGGCCCTCCTCTTCGGGGTCCCCTTCCTAGTGATCGTCCTGTGCTACTGCCTGATGGCCAAGAGTCTCGGCAAGTCCAGCTTCTCCAGCCCCAGCCCCCGAATGCCCTCCTACAAGAAGCGCTCCATCAAGATGATCATCATCGTGCTCACTGTCTTTGCCATCTGCTTTGTGCCCTTCCACATCACCCGGACCATTTACTACACCTCCCGCTACTTCCAAGCCAGCTGTCAGACCCTCAACATCATCAACTTCACCTACAAGATCACTCGGCCCCTGGCCAGCATCAACAGCTGCCTTGACCCCATCTTGTACTTCATGGCTGGGGACAAGTACAGGGGGCAGCTGCGCCGGGGGCCAGCCCATCGCCTCCGGACCGTGCCCACCTGTGACCTGGCCCTCGTGTCCCCCTCCATGGAGAGCATCCTGGGTGGCAGCCACACTCCCAGTGACACCTACGGGACTGGGACAGCACGGAGCAGAGGCGGGTGCTGAGGGGCCAAAGGGAATTGTAGTAACCTCATCCCTGGTCTCCACAGGTTGCAGCCCCCCGGGGCTCCATGCGGGCATCCTGGCAACCCCAGGTCCCCAAACCTGCCCTGCCCGGCCTCTGTGGGGGCAGACACTGCAGGGCTGAGGGCCGGTGGCCATGGGCCTTGTCCCAGCCCTGCCCTAGAACGCCATAGGAAGAGGGTGCTTGTGCCAGGCGGGGCATGACCACCTTTGGGGGACCAATGAGAATGGGAAAAATGCTGAGAAATCCATTTTGGTGAGGCAGCCGGTATCTCATCCAGGGGTGCTCCTGGGATGTGGGGCACCAAAGAGAAGGGACACTGGTCCCTTCCTGGGCATGCACAGCCCTTCCAACCTGCTCAATAGGAATGTGGGGGGACCAGACCGAACCTGGGGATGAAGCGAACACTGGGCCCCCTGAGTACCTGGTGGAGGTTGTCAGAGATGCCCCTGTCACACTGCTGGCTTTGGGAGAGGTAGGGAGGGATGCAGCATGGGGTACTTGCTGCCCATCACCCCTCAATAAAGCCCCTTCCCTTTTCTCTATGCTGTTTCTTCCTATAAGAGGAGGGAGAGGGACTTAACCCTTACCCCCCTTACCCTATAAAGTGTCTGAAAGCGAAGGAAAGCCACCACCAGTCATCCAGAGAGAGGAGTCAGAGCAGTGACACCTGTGGTGACGAGAGTCCTCGGGAATCTGCCTTCATGGATGTTTGCTTTCCAAATGTTTACTCAGCCCTTTTGTTTGACCAAGTGCCTACGCAGACAGCAGACCAGAGATGGCTATCAGTACTGTTGACTCACACACCATCCGGGATGGGATGGGGTGTCCCTGTCACAGGGAGCCCAGGAGGGACTGTCTCCCATTGCCCCCCATGAGTCCTGCCTGCACTTGCCTAAGGAAGGGATGCTAATAGCACTATTGGGGCATCCCCCCCGCCCCCATGGCACTGGCCACACACAGCTACATCCCACCAAGAGCTGCCCAGGTCACCTGGGGGGGGGAAAGGATGCCATGTCCCAACCCCATTCCCATCCCACCAGACAGTGACACACAGAGAACCCCTCACTCACTGCTGAAGTGGAAGCAGAGAAGGCAGCTTCCCTCCTAAGCCCAGTTAGCACCATACAAGCAGCTGTGGCAACTCACCTCCCATTATACCTGATGCCGCCCAGGTGGACCCTGGGAACTGCTTGGTTACACCTGAGCCATGCAAGTGTCCCCATTAAGCACGGCCCCAGCCCTGGAGATGGAACTGCCAGCGAGGGGACACGGGTGGCAGATTCACCCGCATGGGAAGTGCAGGGTACAGCTGCAGCACTGCTGATCCTGACCCCACCACACACATAGGAACAGCTGCAGGGTTGGAATTCTGTATTGGGTACAGAGGTGGTGGAAAAGGCTCATCCGGGGCCAGAGCAGCACCCACTGCTCGCCCAGGGCCACATGGTACCAGCTGAGGCCACTTGTCCCCAGGTCCTGGAGTGCCCCTCCTCTTCCCCAGGGGGGATATCTCCCCAGCCTGGTCCCACTCACCATTGGGATGCTATCCCAAAGAGCCCATCCTGTCCCCTCCTCACATGACACCTCTTCCCTCAGCTCACGGTGTCCTGGTTATCTTGAGGGAACCATGCCCAGCACTGGCCCCCAGCCTTTCTCCATCGCCCCCCCCATCAGCCCCACATCCTCAGGGAACACCCACAGCCCCTCCAAACCCCTTTCAAAGAGGACTATTCCCCAAGTTCCCCTTCCCTTTGCTTCTTCCTCTCCTGCTTCCTGCTCAGTTTTTTTGGCCAGAGTGGGGACCGTCCCCTGTGCATCCCCCATGTGTCCCCCATGCCGGGATGGCTGAAATCCCCACCCACAAGAGCACTGCCCTTGTGAGCCAGGATCTGGCCGCCGGCGCCAAGCCGTGCTCAGAGGATGTGCAGCTCATCCGTCTCCAACAGGCCATACTTGGTCTTGTTCTCGTTGAAGAGCTTGAGCAGGGAGCGGATATACATCTCGTGGTACATGTCCACCACCTCACTGCTCGGGTCCTCGATCTTGGGCACTGTCACTGGCTCCCCCACTGCGGGGAGAGGAGGAAGGTCAGGTTGGCCTGGCTTATTGTGGATACAAGCCTTTGTGCAAGACATTGCCTTCCAACACCACCCATTGCCGGGTGTCCTCCTCCACTGCCCCTCCACTTTTCGGATATCCCCTCCTCCCAGGCAAAAGATGCTCACCTACGGTGGTGATGGGTTTGGCATAGGGAAGGAAACCCCGGGACTGGATGGAGGTGAGGCCCCGACCGTAAAAGACACAGGGAGCGAAGCCCATCATCTTTTGGAAGCGCTGCTGGATGCTCCTCATCCAGCTTCCCTCCTCAAAGACCACCTGGCGAAAGAGGTCATTCTCCCCGAAGGAGAAGGAAGGGACGAGGTGGGCCCTGTGGAGGGAACATGGTGGGTGGTAATGGGATGCCAGGACCCCCAGACTCCCACAGCGGCGGTGCCCGTGACCCACCCGTGCTGCAGGGCCAAGCGGACGAAGCCCTTACGGTTCTTCAGGGTGAGCGTGGTGATGCCGGGACGGCAGGAGAGTGACTCGGCCGCGCCGCCGATGACGATGGCCACTGCGTTGCCGGTGCCGTTCTTGGACAGCAGGTACCCGATGGCGCGGCGTGTCACTGGACACAGCCCTGCAGCAGAATGGACCACTGGTGCTGTGGGACTGCCAGCCCCTGCAGCGCTCGGGGACCCTCTGAGGGACCCCGCAAGGGACCCTGCCTTGTGGGACCATGCAAGGGACAGAGCAAGAGCTCCCCCTGCTGCGGCAGGGTTCCTGGAGCGGTTGGGTCTGCAGGAGCAGGCAGGGAGCAGGCAGAGCACAGAGGCCATCAGAGCCGGGCTTCCCACAGATGGAACTCCCCAGAGCTCCCTGCCCATGGATGCTGCACCACCTGGGTTCTGCCTGGCAGCAGCAGAGTTGAGCAGGAGCGGGGCAGGCAGTGGCTGCATCCCTCAAGCCAGCACAACCAGCCATGCCTGCAGGGCAGCCCATGAGGTAAGCAACCACGGAGCCTCACCCCCACTCATCAGGTACTCCCTGAAGATGGGCAATCGAAAGTTGCCCGCCAGGGTGGTGAGGAAGGGCCGGATGCCCGGGAACATCTCCTCAAAGCCCGTGGAGCCCGTGATGAAGTTGCAGAAGGCACCAACACAGAGGATGCCGTGAGGGTGGGAGCCAATGATGTAGTTGTGGCTGGGGGACAGGTCGTGTGTCTTCACCAGCTGTGGGGATAAAAGCGATTGCAGGGACATAACAGCGGCATGTTCTTATAGCTGGTACCACCACCACCTGCATGAACACCCCATCCTGGCACCCTGGCTCCCTGCACTGTACCTTCACAGGGAAATAATCCCGAAAGTGCCTCCACACGGTCCATCGACGCAGGCATGGCAGCCTCCTGCCACCTGCAAACCAGGGAGGGACCACAGGAGACGATGCCCACCCCAGTAGGCAGCAGGATCCATGGGAAACACTACCCACAGACCCACTGCATCCCTCTTCCCACCATGGGGATGATGATGGGGCAGAGGAAGGAAGGAGCAGGTGGAATGTGGTGCTCTACAATTGCCATGCTGGGATGGACCCAGGGAAAGAGGAGACCCCATGCCCCATCCTGCTGCAAAGCAGGAGGAAAAGGGGACCTGTGCCCATCCCCACCTTTCTCCGGTGTGTCCCAGTCAAAGATGATCCAGGCCAGGTAGAGAGCAGAGATGGGCCAGAAGCTGGTGAACACAAGGTAAATGAGGAGCATCAGGCTGACGATCCCTGTAGGAGCAGGAGGGGGTGAGTGCGTGCATTCCTGCCTCATGGGACCCCCTGCAGTCCCCTACTCACTGACCCAGCAGCAGGAAGCTGAGCACCCACTGAAGGACAGAGAGAAGCTGGAGCCAGGAGTGGATATCCCGCTGTGAGGGCCAGGGTGCTGCAAGTAGGGTGCGCAGGGTGGCCTGGATACTGGCGCGGCTGCCTGTGAAGGGACACGGCACCCAGCCCAGAGCAGCACAGGCTGGACCAAAGATGCTCCACTGGGCTGGCAGGGCGTGAATCCAGGGGCACCTGTGGGTGCTGGGGCTTTGGGGTGCAGCAGTGAGGTGGGAGGTAGGATGGAAAGGATGAAGCAGTTGGGTGAGGAGGGATGGGATGGAGGATGCTCATCCTGAGAACTCTGGACCATGCCGGCTGCTCTCGGAACAGCCTTGAGCCGAGCAGGGGCCAGGCTGGGCACCCCTGGGCCCAGACATGTCCGTGAGCTTGGGTGCAGCACTGGAGCAGAGTGCAGTGGCACATCCCACACCGTGCCCAGCTCTCCAAAGGCCAGGACCTTTCCCGTGTTCAGGCTCCCAGATGATTCGTGTCTTTCCCAGCTGGTGCAGCTGGGAGGCACGGGGCAGTGTCCAACCCCAGCAAGTGCCAAGGACTGCGGCCGGGCACCGAGCAGGGTGGCCGAGGCTGGCTGTCCCCAAGCCGTCCCCATGGAGCCTTGCCTGCAGCAAGGGACAGTCCGGCAGCCGCAGCAGCTCCACTCCCCCCACCGCCCCCTTCCCTCCAACCGACCTTGGTGAACCATTAACTGCCCCAGGCCAGGAGCCAGGATCCAAACTCCATGCACGGCCCCATCCCTCCTCCCCAAAACCTGCCCGAGGCGCCTGTTCTGCCCACACACCGCTCCTGGCCAAAGGTCCACTGTGCCTGAGACCACCCGGCACAGCCGCTGCTGCGAGTGCGAGCGAGCTACCTCTTGTGCCACAAGAGCCTTGTTTTCTTGGGAAAACAACCCAAAACCAGCATGTTGGCTGAGACAGGAGCAGACCTGTCCCCATGGCTCCACAAGCTGGAGACCCTTAGGTATCCTGTGGGACCCCCATCTCAGAGGAGAACCACCAAATCCTGGGGTTCAGTGGCTGGTTCCACTCATTCTGGCTCAATCCAAGTCATGAATGGGACAACCAAAATAAACCCCAGAGGCATCACCAGTATTAAAGAGTTGTTTCCTCTCTCCCCCGAGTGGTCCCTCCTGCCCATCCCTGCTCACCCTCCAGAAGCCCTGCTGCCCTCACAGCCCTGCCTATGTCAAGTTTCCAAAGCCCTATTTGTTTTCCAGGGAAGATGCAAAGCTCTGCCGAGAAAACTCATGCCTACCAAAGCGTTGCTTTTCTTAGTTCCTTTTTCCAGCTCCCCTCCAAGCTCTCCATGAATGACCAGACCACAGAGAGAAAACGGAGAAGTCCCATGGGCTCTGCTGCCGGCCCCATCTGCAGTGAGAGGAGCCTCTTCAAACCCAGAAAGTTGGACTCTACAGTCCAGGCCAGCAAGGAAAGACGAAGAGGAATTTGCAGCACTCTGGAGCACGTTGCAGAGTAACATTACTGAATGCATTGTCAGAAATTAATTCCTATTGAGCAACTGTATGTTTTCCTCTGGTGCTGCAAACCCCAAATCGCTCCAAACATCTCCCTTTCCCCTAAGCCTAAAGCAGACAGACAATACTGACAACAAACGGCAATTGCCTGACCAGCTCCTCGCATCTCCAGAGCATCAGAAACCATTCAAACACATTTTGGAAATATCTTACCACTAAGATTTTGAGAACAGGCTGCAATAATTGTTTTCATGGTGGCAGGGAGTTCTGCGCCAGCCCCTGGATCTGCAGGTTAAAAGGTGAGTTTGGAAATGCTGGAGGGCGACTGTGTATCCAGTGGCTTTAACCAGCTGATCCAAGGTAAACCGTCCACTGTGGAGGGGAGCAGACCCGCTCTGGCCCTGGCTTGCAGAGCAAGAAGAAGAGCTGGTGGTCCTTGGGAGGACGAGGAGTCACGCTGAGCGGTGAGGTGCTGCCGTGGCGAAGGTCACCCACTGCTCTTCAGAAAGGCACTGCTGCCGGCACCAGCGGCAGCTCCGTGGGAGCTGCCTTCCCCTGGTAATGGTACCGTCCGTGTGTTGGGTATTTCACAAACCCTGTTATGCTCTAAACGTCATCCCAAAGCTCCCCCTCTGTGGTATGGGAAGGCAGCCTGCCTGACAGGCCTTGACCATCAGCCCCAGCATTGTCCCCTCCTCTTCCACCCCTAAGAGGGGCACTGGAGTCAGCCAGCCCAGCCTGCTAGCCCAGCCAAAGTGGAGAGGAGTGGGGGACAAAAAAAAGAGAAGAAAATGAAACAAGAACAGCACAAAAGCAGCACCGAGATGGGGCTTCAGGCCAACGGCCAAAGGAAAGGCGAAAATCAGCAGGAACTAGTTCACTGGAGCTACTTCTCAGGATCTACCTCTCCAGAAGTACTCACGAGGAAAAGCCAGCCACCATCAAAAGTAGGAAAGGAATAAGTGCACGCCTAGGACTGAGTGTGTTGTTAAAGTCTAAACCATGTTTCACGGGAGAGGTTTGGAACCCACAAAAACTCATCATCTGCTCTTGTAAGGGCTGAGTGTCTGGAAAATAGGGTGCAACGGCATTCACTGCAAGCTACAGCTTCACAGGGGCAGGTTAGTTAAGAGCTGAGATTGCCATGTATAAAACATCCAAGCTCTCCTGAAGCCTAGCTGGTCCCTCAGGTGTGCCTGAGTCATGCTAATAGGAAGGAAAACCCCTAATTCCCTCGGAATCTCACTCCCTGGACACAAGAGAGTGCTCTGCTGATGAACCTGACTGCACCAAATCACAGTAAATGCCCTGTGTCCTGCTCCAGGTAACACTGCCACACATGCAAGTAGCAGTGATGATTTCTCTGGGGTTTTATCCCAACATCTGTAAGACATTTAGAATAACTGCAGCCTCGGCTGCTAGTCCCATGCTGGGCAACTCCAGGTCTTCCAGCCACGATTCCTCACTTTCTTACCCAGTGACGTGCCTGCCGCACACCAGGTCAGTGCCATGTAGGGCAGAACGCTCATGTTCTCCCTTCTCACTCAGTTCAGGATTAGTGCCAGCAGCTATTTAAACCAGTTTCAGAGGAATCCAGAAAAGGTTTGCACCCCTTCAGGGTTATTTTCCAAGCACGCTCACCACCAGTGCAGTACTTCATTTTTGAATATGGCACTGTTGGCCCCAGTAGGGCTCCCTGTATATCGCACTGTATGCATTATAGCCATGCAGCCCCCATGTTACTTTTGTTATGAGCAAAAGGACAAGCATTTCTATTAAGGCATTTCTACAACATGTAGTATCAGCATTTCAAGACATTGCCCTTAAAATACCTGATTTACTTCACATAAAAATATCCCCAACGCTTCAGTCTGCATGCTCAGGAACAGCAGAATTTGCCTGTGCAAAGCTCATGGAGGACCCAGCTGTGCACGCAGACCTGCCTGCCAAGGTGAACACATCCAACATTGACCATCTTGTATTCCCAACACCCCTGGTTGCTAGCAACCAGCTTTTCAATTTTGCTCTGGAAGAGCCTGGGATAAAGAGTGAGGGATTTTAACAACAGAACTAGGCAGCACAAGAGATTTTATTTTTCTTATTAAATATTTATATATAAATATTATTTTGATGAGGTGAGCAGCTCCAGAGAGGACCCTTCAACACCAGAGTGACAGGAAACACCACGTGCAGGAGCCTCAGTTCTGAGCAGCAAGAGCCACCCAGGGAGCCTCAAGCCCTTGCCTGGCCTTGTCCAGATGCCAGCAGCTCCACTGAGGCGAGCAGCCCGAGTGGGAAAAAACCCAGGCCAGGAGCTCAGTGAGCGGGGCGTGACATGGCAGTGTTGCCTACCAGGGGCTCAGATCAGGGATGTTACTGAGAGGCTGCCTGGTCTAGTAAGTCCTGTTGACTCTTACCCACTACTCCAGATCCATGTGGGTGCCAGTGATATTGACAGCAGTAGCCTGGGAATCATTAAGAAGGACTACAGAGCCCTGGGAAAGGTGGTTAGGGGCTCTGGAGCTCAGACAGTTTTTCCACTGATCCTCCAGGTCAAAGGGGAGGACCTTGAAAAGGCCAGGCAGATTTGGTGGTTAATAAATGGTTAGAAGAATGGTACCATAGTCAGGGGTTTGGTTACTTGAACATGAGACTTGAGTTGGGAGGCCAGGTCTACTGAAGGCTGGTGGCGCTCAGAAAAACTGCTTTGGTAATAGAGACTTGCCAGGCTGGTCAAGGCAGCTTTAAACTAGATGTGTTGGTCAGGGGGGGCATCATTCCATCCCAACACTCCCAAATCAATTGCCAGCACCTTTAATAAATGCTTGAATCGATGCAGAGCTATTTCAGCCACTCCAGCTAACGAGTCAGCTTCATTTGGAGCTCAGCTCAGATGCCTCTATACAAACACCTGTAGTATGGGCAACAAGGGGAATAAAGAGATGTGTGTACGGCTACAGGGATATGATATCATTGGCATCACAGAAACATAGTGGGATGGCTCCTATGATTGGAATGTTGGAGTGGAAGGTTATAGGCTCTGTAGGAAAGACAGATCCAGCCGACAGGGAGTGGGAGTAGCTATTTATGTCAGCCATAGGCTGGAGAGTATGGAACTCTCTCTGGGGACAGGTGATAAGTCAACGCAGTTGGTGGGTCAGGGCCAAAGGGAGAACAGCAATGGGGGACATTACTGTGGGGATCTGTTACAGACCACCTGATCAAGAGGATGAAGCACTCTATAGACAGATAGGAGCAGCCTCACAGGCCCTTGTCCTCCTGGGAGACTTCAACCATCCTGACATCTGTTGGAGGCATGGTACGGCCTGGCACAAGCAATCCAGGAAATTCCCTGATTGTGTGGAAGACAACTTCCTCTTGCAAGTGACAGAGGAGCCAACAAGGAGACATGCTATGCCTGACCTCATGCTCACCAACAGGGAGGGGCTGGTTGTAAATGTGATGCTCCAGGACAGCCTTGGCTGTAGTGATCATGAGACGGTTGAGTTCGAGATTGTCAGGACAATGAGAAGGGCATGCAGCAAGCTCACTGCCCTGGACTTCAAGAGAGCAGACTCTGGCCTCTTCGGGTACCTGCTTAGTAAAGTTCCATGGGATATAGCCCTAGAAGGCAGGGGGGCCCAAGACTGCAGGCTGATATCCAAGGATCACCTCCTCCAAGCTCAGGAGCTCTGCATCCCGACTAGAAAGAAATGCAGCAGGAGGGCCAGGAGGCCTCCATGGATGAATACGGAGCTGCTGAGGAAACTTAGAGGGGAAAAAAGAATCTCATAAAAGGTGTACGCAAGGACAGGTGGCTTGGGAAGAATAGAGATGCTGTCCAGGAAGCTAGGGACCAGGTCAGGAAAGCCAAGAACCAGTTAGAATTATACCTGGCAAGGGATGTGAAAGTTAACAGGGAGGGCTTCTGTAGGCATGTAGCAAACAAAAGACTGACCAGGGATAATGTGAGCCCTCTCTGGAAGCTATCAGAGCTGGCTGCCCTGGATTTGGAGAAGGCTGAGGTTCTCAATGACTTCTTTGCTTCAGTCTCCACTGGCAAATGCTCTGACCACACTGCCCAAGTCTTGGAAGGCAGATGGAGGGACTGTGAGAATGAAGACCTTAGGCCCGCTTTAGGAAAGGATCAGGTTCGAGATCATTTTAAGAACCTGAACGTGCACAACTGGAAAAAGGGAAATATAACTCCCATTTTCAAGAAGGGCAAAATGGAAGACCCAGGGAACTACACCCCAGTCAGTGTCACCTCTGCCTGGCAAAATCTTGGTTTAGTGTGACATGGTTTAGTGTGTGGTGTCCCTGCTCATGGCAGGGGGGTTGAAACTAGATGATCTTAAGGTCCTTTCCAACCCTAACCCCTATGATTCTATGATATAGAGGGAAAAGAAAATGAATACATCCACCCACAATACAAAGAACCGTTTCCAAATTCATGTACTTTTCTTGCAAGGACTTCCTCTGACTGGGAGAACAGAGGCAGTCTGACCCCTCGGAAAGAGCTCCACCTGACAGGAGCTCTGTGGCGTCACTGTACATAATCAGTGCACTCAGTCCAACATTTAATGTAAACCAAAACAAGCGGTCATGTTTACTCATCCAATTCCCTGCCTCCCAGGGAAGCCATGGATACCTCTGCATATGTACAGTGTCTTTACTCCTGTACTGCCAGGACACTGGCTATTCTTACAGATTTCCAGGACATGCTCCCTCTGCAGCAAGGGCATCAGCCCATGTTATGCCGGTTGCCATAGCCTCTTGGGTGTGTATCTTTCCAGTCATCCATGTTCCGAGCTTTCTGAAGAGCTTCCTCATCATCCTCCTCCTCTTTTTTCTCCTGCTGCTTCTGCAACTCTTCATCAGTTAGATCTGCTGAAGACAAGAACATGAGTGAGGGGCAGTAGGACAGTGGAAGATCCACAGTCAGGCTCTCAAAAGCTGGTCTGGACAAAAAGCAGGAATTGCCAAATGAGCAGTCCAGTAATCCAGTTATTCTCACAGCCTTATGAAGCCAGCTCTTACTCTTCCTCAGTCAGTGGGTGCTTTACACTCTGAACACATCCCCATTCACCCTCCCCCCAAGAGACATCCCAAGCTCTCCATTCCAATCTTTGCTTTGCCACTCCATACCTGGAGGTGTGCTCTGACCAGACACCACTCCTTGCCTTCTGCGCTGGTCGTACCAGTCATCCACAGTCATTACAGGCAGGCTGGGATAACCAGCACCAAACACTCTACAGGAAGAGATGGACAGTCAAAGGTGGCACTTGATATTGCTATGAACAAGCAGAAACATAGACAACCCTGCACAGAACTACTCTGTAATCCAATCTGTACTAACAATATAAGGCATATTATCAAAGAGGGCTTGAGAATATTTTTCTACAGCCTGGCTCTTCAGCAAGGCTTACCAGTAACCCAGCCATAACAGCATTTACAGAGTTCACCCTGCTAATTTAGAGAGGCAAGGATTGTTCTATTCACAAATCACCAGCCCAAAGGAGTCTGTACAGCATGCTAAGGAGGCCCCAAGAACTGAGTTAGGCACAGCTTGGCTAAACAGATTAATGGAAGGCTCAGGGCAAATGATGTCAAAAGCATGACAAGAAATCTGGTTTCTATCCCAACTTGTGCTTTAGCTGCCATATTCCTCACAAGAATCTCATGGTGTCACAAAATATTAAGATCTGGATAACCTGTAAGGCTAGGGAAAGACAGTTCAAAAACCATACTACCATGACTGATTATTCTCTGGTAGGCATCACATCTTCCCAGCCCCCCAGATCACTTATTTGAATTCACTGAAATATTCCAGAGTTTACATTAGATTAAGAGATCACATGTATTCTTCACTACTGGGCTCTTTATTTTAAGAGTGAAGAGTAATCCTCTTCTATCCCATAGAGGTTAGAGGGGCAGATAAACATTGCC